TCTGAGCAACCAGCCAAACTAAAGGTCAGTTTCTCATTAACAAGATGCCCCCAATAGGTTCACCAAAACAAACAGGCACCATACTGTATATACCTTTTTAGTGTTTTGTCAACAGTCACCCTTTTCACCCAGCAGCAGACTCCCATAGAAGTGAGAGAGAGCCCTGAGCATTAGTCAAACCTCCAAATCAGCCATAAACCCTAGAGTCTCTCATTATATGTAGGTGAGAAACCTAGGTGACACATACACACCGTACACAATCCTGCCAACCAGTGCCTCACAACAGCCGCTGATGATGTGCACAGGAGTAACATTGTCCCCAGCTCTATTTTCTGCATCCCGAGAATGAGCTGGAATTTACACTGCACAATGTATGCATACATGTACATGCAAAACAAAATTGCTAGGATCATGAAGCAATTGTTTTTTGACAAAAGAGATTTTGCCTATCTCTTTTGCCAAAATACTCTAACTCCTAGCAATTTTTAATTACGGGAAATTAGTTCCGCTTTAACAAGGATCAGATCTGCCAGGCAGGGCGGAGTTATGTGACATAACTGTGTTAATCTCAGGACTGGATGGACTGACATACAAATCCTTTGGCAGGTAAAACAGCTCCCTTACATGTGTTTCATCTGTGTATTTAGCCATTTGCCCAGAGTTCCACTTTCAAATACAAAATATCCATATCTGACTACCGGGTTCCTTTAAAGACTATAAGTAGTGTTAAATGTGCGTTGTTTGAGCACCAAATATCTGTTGCAAAATATGTTGGCTCTTTCCCATCCAGACGCCAAGAAATTCTGCCCCTCTTACCAAATAAAGACATGTCCAAGCAAAAATATTACCCACTTTGCTGGGACATTGGGTTAATGAACAACTTTATAAGCCCGTGGGAAAAAATGTGAAGTGTAGTATGTACGAGCCTGTTCACAATAACCAGACCACATTTCTTGAGTAACGGCCTGCTTCTGCCCACAGCAATAATAAACAGTGAACATTCGCACACACTGACACTTTTTATTGCTAACTTGCATGGGCTCAGAATAACCTTTTAGCTTTCCACTCCACTATCAGCTGTAAATTTGTTTCAGCAACTGGCGCTGAATTCACTTTTATTGCATCACATTCACTTTCTTTTAAAGAGGAACTTTAATCTTTTTACAGCATTTGAGTTTTGTAATTACATATGTATACTGGGGCAGCCATGTCTGTGCATTATATATGTAAGTATGCTGTACATTCTGCTTAGTAAATGCTGCACAGTTAATGTACTCACCTCTCTCTCTCTCTCTCTCTCTCTCTCTCTCATCACATTCACTTTATTCCCTCTACTACCCAGCAGCACATACTTACTTTTCCTTCACTCCCCTTTGCTCTGTTCAACTGTCAGGAGTAAAGAAGCACAACTCTGTGTAAGTTCCGAGTCACTAGAGTCAGAGCTTACACAGGGCTAAGGACTTTCCCCTTCCCAGTGTGACTGGGCTGGGCCAATCAACATGCACCAGCACGTAAACCCTTACAATGAACTTCTTGAAAGTCTTATCTCAAGCAGCTTATTCAAATTTGCCAGTCCTTCCATAAAAAACACCTCCCCCTCTGTTAATTTCCATAGAGGAAGGTATTCTGTAGTTTAGACAACTGAGCAGAGCTGACACCATGTTTTGCAGAAGAGAGGATGTCAACCCACAACAGGAAACTAAAAGCTGAGGGCATTTCTGCCAGGATCAATAGATATTTTACTTGCGGTGTTTTAAAGAGATGATGCAAAATTGTGGAGGCATTTACAGAGAATTACTGTATTTTGTTTCATCCTGACATACACTTTAAGCCTGGAATGCTAACAGTTTCTCTCA